TCAAATTTACTAGGCTTAAATGATTCAAGAGTTTGTACACAGTCAATAAGCAATAATCTATTAACTTCTGGTCATAAACATGCTGGAATACATTTTAAGAAATTATCTCTCTGAAGTAGGAGCAATAGATTCAAAAAAATCTGCAATTCCAGTAAAGGGTGATCTAGCAAAAATGAACATATACATTAGTCTATTTCTCAAAAGACAAATTTCCTACAGATTTTCTACAGACATGGTGTCAACCTTCACACTGCCTCATAGGACCTGAACAACTTTAATCAGCCTGGATTCTAATATAAAAAAGAAAGAGCAAAGACATTAACAATATTTACTTATAAATATTGGTACCATGTCTGTGGACTGTTTAATCTGTTCTCTTTCTTTTGTAGAAATAGTGGTAGATACAGTGAATCTAGGCGGTTGCAGAAGGCTACAACCCACCCTGTCCCTACTCCCTCCCGGCAAAATAAGGAGCCAGTGTTGGAATTATTTGCTCATAGAGCCACTAGAGTAAAGAGCTGTCACAATGTAGGCATTAATAAGATTTTTAAATGACCACAGCAAAGTATTAGGAAATAAGTCTGAGTTTCATGCCAATAGTAAATCTGCTTTTGTCTTTTATGAAAATGATTTCAGAGTACCTCTAAGTCTCTTTAACTATAACCACAAATAGAAAATGACATTTTGGCCATTGCCTTGCTAGACTCTGGTGTGGCCATGTGTTCTCTGAGCCATGGCTGCCACCATGCTTTCTGGCTTTGGCCCCCTCCCCCACCTTGGGGAGGTGAATCTTCTCTCTCCCTTCTCTTTCTCGCTCTATTTTAAATAAACTATATATTAAAAAAATAAAATGACATTTTACCTTCTACAAAAGCATTGACAACAGCATCTTAGAAAAAGTGTAGTGGCATGTTTGTATATGTGTATGCTATTCTGAAAACAAAATGTGTGCAGAAAAGAGTGAACACAGCAGGCCTGGGACTGCTACCATTAGAAAGGACTGCTTCAAGTTTGGCCCTTGGTAGGTATTTGGCAACTTGAATGGTACCAGTTCTTTATAACAATATGAAACTTTCCCTAAATAATTAAAGTGAGTCACTCTGCCAAGATTGTTTGTATAAACAATATGGTTTATGCTGACCATCTGCTTTCATTGTGGGAGACTAGGATTTTGGTATGTGCTACGCAGAGGGTGCATATGTGACTAGCTCCCAATAAAAAACCTTGGGCTTTGAGTCTCTAGTGATTCTTGAAAATTTGTGCCTGGTTTTCTCTGAATTTTGCCCTGCCTGCCTTTTCCCTTTACTGATTTTGCTTTGTATCCTTTTATGGTAATAAATCTTAGTGGTGAGTACCACTATATGATGAATCCTGTGACTCCTCTTAGTGAATAACCAAACTTGAAGACAGTCTTGGGAGCCCCTGATACAAAAGGGGAATAGTCTTTGGCTGCAAATCAATTATCTGTCATGTAAATGTTCAATTTCCTTTCAGGAAATTGAGCACCTCTTTGATCATTCAGTATATACTTTGTTTATACCTTTGTATTTTGTACAGTGTGTCCTTGTACATTGTTCATTAAAAGTAAAATAATATTTACACTAGATATGATAAAGTTAAGAATTTTTTAACATTGTATAAGTCAAGGACATTAAGTAATGGTTTCCACAACAGTTATTACTTGAGTAGCTTATTTGCAAGTATCATTTTTGACCACAATATAAACGTTTATATTTTCATGGGTAATGCAGCCAGCTAGAGTTGCTGTGGAAACCATAACTGATTCTTGTCATGGATTATATGGCACTGAAGCATGAAATTTAAAGACTATATACAGAAACTCAGCATATGCATTGCTAGGATGAGGCATAGTTAATGAAGGAATTATAAATCATTTCTGTCAACTATGCATTTCTAGACTTGAACTTTAATATTGCATGAATAATTTGACATTTAAATACCACCTCCTCTGTTTTATTAAAGGCAAAATATGTGTAAGAGAGAATCTAACAGGCTGATTGATCATCTTTCTGTGCACTTAAAAACACCAGCTTGAGTTAAAATATTGTAATAGAGAAAGTGTTTAAGATCTAATGTTCAAATATATGTGCTTTAGTGAATTAATCACTTAATAAATTTTATTTTGATTTTGATAAGTCTCTGACACCTTTAATCTTTATAAAATAGCTCCAGGATAGAAGATATAATAAATAAAAAATGTTGCATAACTAATATGCTTTTAAAAATCAGAAAAACAATTCTGAATGAAAAGTATATTCTTAAATAATATATTATGTCATTAAAACCATTAAAAATTCAAATGCAAATACAGGATTTACAAATATAAGACTAAAATTGGATTTTTTAATAACTTGAACAATTAAAACAGTTTTAAAAACTAGTTGGTTTCCACTTTAGCTTTTATCTACTAACTAGAGAGACAATAATATTTTTGTAGTGTGGATAGAGATACATTCTAGTTTATGTTTGGGTGTTGAAACAGACAGTTTTATTGGGTATGGTGAATATGATCTGTATTTCACATAATACAGATTCAAGAGATCATTTAATGGCAATATTCTGTTTTCAGAAGCTCTATCTTAGACTAGTAAAGAGAGTAAAGTATGAGAATAACTTTATATCCAATATAGGAAGAAATAATCTGGCACCTTCAGTTAAAAACAAAAGTACATCAAACACTCTGTCACATTTCTACATAAATTATGGGGAAAAATCAGATACTGTGATATGTTAAAATTTAATATTGTTATCTTCTAAGGTGACTAGGGTTTAAACTATTATGATTTTAGAGCATATGCAGATTATTCGATACAAAATGTTACAGCTTTATATGAAATGAAAACATATTCATAAACAACTAAAAAAAATCTTATCCAATGTAGGATAATTGGCAAACAGGTCAATATATAAAAATGAAGTACATATCTTTCAACTGAAGCAACTGTTCTAAGTAAGTGTAAATGTAGTTATGACTGCATCTTTGTTATAAAATTTGAATAAGTATAAGTAATGCAATAAATATTTAAGACCTTCATAATTACCCTTAATTATTTGAAACTATTATTGTAATTTTGCATTCTTAGACCTTGTATTCTTCTAAAATATCTTCTGAAATATTCTTCTCCTGTTTGTGATATTAAGGTATTTTATTTCTCTCATCATCCTTCATATGGTTTTTGGCTATTATGCTCTTGAGAGTCTACATAGTCATTACTCAAATTCTTCAAAATCAAATCACTGTCTTGGATATTAATTTTTTTCAATGTTTTGTTTTGTTCATATCAAAGGTTCTCTTACTGCGAATTTCATATTCCTGCTTCATATTCAATTGCCGGGGGAAAACAATTACAAAGATAAAAAATCTGAAGCCTAGAGATCTATAAATGTAACAAGAACAACAGTGAAAATTATTTAAAATAAATACTGTAGTCTGCCTTTCTGTATTGCCTTTATCACTGAAAATCTTTTAACACCTAAGCTTGGTTTATTTATCTGTAAGAAGTATTTAATTTTGACCTTTGACATAGTTGAGACATAAATTATTTAGTTAATTCCCTCATTTGTCAACACTGACATAACATACAACTTTCCCCATATAATGCAGCAAAATATAAGGGAAAATCTTGTGACCGCCATAGAATGCATATGCCCTACGAGACACAGAACAATACTATGTTGAGATGTGGATTTTTGCTGGTTGGATAGACTCATTCTGTCGGTATCTTCTTCCTATAGCCCAGATGTACAACATTCATGATTTAAATTTGGTTCTTGACAAAAAACATTAATTACTACCTTATGGATATTCAGGGATCCTTACGAATGGTTAACATTGTAAATTTTAAGTTCATAAATGCCAAGAGTCAGCTTTCATACTAAATGTAGAGGTTGAATCTGCCTGAGATACAAAGAAATAGAGACTTTGCTCTATTTCCTACCAGATTCTTCAGGTTGATTAGGCTTACTTCTTCCCAAGAAGTCACAGAATACAAAACATAACTCAACTATATCACATCTCAGGATAATGTGATGCTCTATTTCCTGGTCCTATTCTAAATGCGGCTATGAGGTCTTTAAAAAAAAGAAAAGTAATAGAGTATACCACATATAAGAATAGGAAGAACAGAAAACAAGCAAAATATCCCTTCCCATGTACTGTGTTTTTAATGTATATAGAAGGCCTCCTGGGAGTGTTTAAAAGTCTACCCTACTCTTTCTTTGTTACGTGGTGAGATATCAGGCTCTGTTTTACTGGCTGAAAAGATTTGAGATCTGAGCTAAAGCAAGAGCAAATGATGAATCCTAAACCAAATACTCTTGGAACAAAAATTAGAGATTATCAATGCAGAAGAAGGAAGGTTTATGGAGTAATTTACAAAGTGCAAAATACTATGCCATAATAAATCTCATGTTCAAGAAAAATTAAAATTATTTCAATATTTGCTAAAAATCAATGACAATTTTAGTCACAATTAGCATGAACAATTGTTAGAAGCCAATTCTAAGAATTTCCATCTTAAAATGGCTTATCCATTTTATGTTTACTTCCAATTTTGTGGTGTTTGACATTAAAAAAAGCAGTCTTTCCTGAAAAAGCAAAGGCATATAAAAAACAGCCTCAACACTTTTCTCCAAGGTGATATTCACATAGAAATAATTACCCATTTTTAAATTTACTTGAAGAAATACTGAGAAGTACAGCAACGATAATGATAAAAACATTAAATATGGAAATTGTCTTATTATTTTGCTATTTTCTTGTAAAACTGCTCTTTTTTTCTTTAGAGATGTCAACTATTCAATACTTAGGCTATTATCGTAAATGAATGCTAGATCAAGAGCAACAACTATTAATTTTTCTGTATTTTTCCTAATTTAAGATTATATTCTGATGACCCAATATGGTTTCAATCTACAAAACTCAAAATTCATGTATAGAAATAATGAATATGAGGGTCATAATAAAACATATAACTTACCTTTCCAGAAACAATCTTTTCATAAATCTGAATTGGTTGGTCTGCAAAGAATGGGGGGTAGCCAGCTGCCATTTCATAGATTAGCACTCCTAATGCCCACCAATCCACTGCTTTATTGTAGCCCTGGGACAAACCGACACCAATGCCAATTATTACTTAAGTTACTCAGTTGTGCTCCACATCTTTAAAATAAAAAAATTTTTTAAAAGTTACTCAAAAAAATGAAATTATAGGTAATTTCAAGATGACCTAGAAACATATGAAACGTTTTCAAAGCAGTGACTGAGCAGTTATTCAGGACAGACTTTTAAAATGAAAAAATATATCAGGTCAGATTTAAATTAAGCAACAGGAGAATTTCCAGATACTGAAATTGGATATCAGGAAAGATTATTAAATCTTCTTCCTAAAATTGTTAAGAATACTGTAGACAATGAAATGTGCTTTATTTCACCAGGATAATTTAGTTCTTACTCAGTAACGGGAAAAGAGTAGGACCGAACTACTTCTTAGGGTCTAGGTCCATAATCTTAAGAATCATGTTTTCAATAGCATACCTGGAAAGATCAAAAGTTTTGAAGCAAAACAGTAGATACTGGAGTTCATAGTAATAATGGAGCTGAATTCAAATTACTCTCTATGGTTGAAGTTAGGAGGGTGAATGTACTAAAAACAATGTTACCAACTTCACAGGATCCTGTGAAAGCTAAAATTTTAATGTGGAATCCAATTAATGTAAAGATTTAAATATGTTTTACTTTTGCTATCTACTGTTTTATGTCTCATCTCTAAAAGAAGGTATACAGCACAGAAAATGAATTCACAGGGTTTTGTGAGGACTATATCAAACGAAAGGGAGTAACATGTACCAATAGTGCTTTGCAAGCCACAAGTACAATTCAAAGGCTATGTTTAAGCCGGGCTCGGTGCCAAGTTCTTCCCAGATCTACTATTCTGCCTCCCTCTACTATCCCCATATTTCACCCTTCTGTCAAAATTTTTGCTTTACAAACTAGTTTTCAAATTACTAGCTAAAATACAATACTATAATACTACAGAGATTCTCTTTTTTTCACCTGATTTTGCATGTTTTTTAAAGGAAGGGACTGTCATAATAGGTCAGCATTTTGTTTTGCTAACAGAAATAGGCAGCAACTTTAACTCTTGCTGGGCTTGGTGGCTCAGCCTGTAATCCCGCGCTTTGGGAGGCTGAGGTGAGTGGATTGCCTGAGCCCGCGGGTTCGAGACCCGCCTGGGCAACATGGCAAGACCTCATCTCTACAATAAATAAAAAAATCAGCCGGGCATGGTAGTGCATGCCTGTAGTTCCGGCTACTTGGAAGGCTGAGGTGGAAGGATCTCTGGAGCCCAGCAGGTGGAGGCTGCGGTGGCCGGGACTGGCCACTGCACTCCAGTCTGGGTGACAGAGTGGGACTCCAACTCAAAAAAAAAACCAACAAAAAAACTTTAACTCTTTGATTTCTATATTTTAAATTGTGTGCTAATGTTTACAGTAAATATGCCAGGCTGGGCGCAGTGGCTCAAGTCTGTAATCCCAGCACTTTGGGGGACTGAGGCGAGAGGACTGTCTGAGCCAGTGGATTCAAGAACAGCCTGGGCAACATGGTGAGACCTCATCTCTACAATAAATCAAAAAATTAGCTGGGTGTGGTAGTATGCATCTGTAGTTCTGGCTACGTGGAAGGATCGCCGAAGACCAGCAGGTCAATGCTGGGGTGCCACTGCACTCCAACCTGGATAGTGGAGTGAGACTCCAACTCCAAAAAAAAAAAAGAATGCCAGATACAAGTTAATACCCTAGGCATAGAGAATTAAAATAAGTTAATAAGAAAAACATTAAATTGCAATAGATAAATGGGCAAAGAATATGAACTATTAATTTACACAGACACATAGAAAATACCTAATGGCTATTATGTATTTGAAAAAAATCTAATAATAAGAGGTATGAGAATTAAAGCAGTAAGATACCATTTATTGCCTATTGATTTAGTAAATCTTCTAAAAATGTGAATACCTAGTGCTAGAAAGAGTGTGGTAAAATAGGAACTCATACACTGCTGATAGTAGTGTAAGTGGTACAATCTTTTTGGAAAGCAATTTGGAAATATGTATCAATAGCTTTAAAAGTGTTCTTATCTTTGGACCCAGTAATTCTACTTCTGGAAATTTAGCCTGAGAAAACAATGTAAAATGCAGAAAAACCTTATGCATAAAGATGTTTATCATAGTTATTTATAAAGCAAAAACAAAACAAAACAAATAAAAGGAAAATCTGAATATTTAACAATAGAAACAGCAAAATAGTTGACAGTACATTTGCAAGCAGTCCGTTAGAATGATGTTTACAGGCTTGTTCTCATGCAAGTAAAAACAGATATAAGACTATACATTCACCATGATTTTAACTATGGCAACATGCATTTTTTAAAAATCAAGAATTTTAGCCGGGCTCGGTGGCTCAGTCTGTAATCCCGTGCTTTGGGAGGCTGAGGTGAGTGGATTGCCTGAGCCCGCGGGTTCGAGACCCGCCTGGGCAATTTGGCGAGACCTCATCTCTACAATAAAACAAAAAATTAGCTGGGCGTGGTAGCGCACGACTGTAGTTTCAGCTACTTGGAAGGATGAGATGGAAGGATTGCCGGAGCCCAGCAGGTCGAGGCTGCAGAGGCCGGGAGAGGCTACTGCACTCTAGTCTGGGCGACAGAGTGAGACCTCAACTCAAAAAAAAAAAAAAATCAGCCGGGCGTGGTAGCACACGCCTGTAGTTTTGCAGCTACTTGGAAGGCTGAGGCGGAAGGATCGCCGGAGCCCAGCAGGCTGTGGTGGCTGGGAGCGGCCACTGCACTCCAGTCTGGGCAACAGAGTGAGACTCCAACTCAAAAAAAACAAAAACAAAATCAAGAATTTTTTTAAAAAAGGCTGCCTTTTTTGGTGGTGGGATTATATACAGGATTTTTTGGTTGTTTCTTTGTATTTTTCTGTATTTTCCAAATTTTGCACAGTGAACATCTATTACTTTTACAATATGTATACATTTGTCACAGTTGTATGTGTTTATCCTGGTCATATTATTTTTGAAGAGTATTTAAAGAGAAAGAAATGTGTTACCAGCAATGATGTTTAGATTATAAAGGACTAAAAAGTTATATATAATTTGAATATGAAAGATAATGACAGGAAAACTTAAAGAAATCTTTTATTTTACTATAACACTTCTATAGGTTAGTCAAATTTCAACAAACCATTTTGCAAACCATCGAAGCTCATGTTTTAACCCTTTTCTTTTCCTCTCCTATTTGTGCCCAATTATTGTTAGTTTCTCCTTTCTAGCTTTCTCCATCAAGGGATGGCAGGGAAAAGGAAATTGCCGGGGTGGGGTGGGGTGGGGGGTAGAATTGGCAGTTGAAGGAAACTGCTAGGGGAGGGAGGAGCACACCTCATCAACAAGGGTACCTGCATAATGAACATTTGTATACCTAATTTGAATTGTACCCCAGATCTTAAAAAAAAAAAAAGAAAGAAAAGAAAGAAATGTTAAACCATTCTTTTAGATATGGTTTCAGTTTCTCTCACTGCAGTTCACTATTTTGAAAAGTAGCACTGCCTTCAATAGTACTAAAAACTATTCAATTTCTGTAATATTTCTATTAAAGTAAAATTTCCAAACAATTCTCATGCATTCCTTTCATGGAAGTGGTAAATTTGAAACAAAGGAAGAACTGAAAACTAGTACATATCATTTCAAGATTTGCTTCTCGGTGTAATTCAGAGCATGACTCCCCTACCTTCGCGTTATTGGGAATAATCATGAAAAGACTATATTTCTGGCTTTAAAACATGGATGTAGAGGTCAGACTTATTCACACTACATCTCTAAGATCTAGAGTTAAAATTGACAGAAGTTATGGGATTTGCAATAGACTCTAAATAATTCTTCTTTAGTAGTCAGGCACAAATAGATTTAAATGTATAGTGTTTTTACAAAAGTCCATAGTGATGCATGCATGCCTTGTATGTCTACTCCTTACATATTGACATTATGAATATACCTTGCTGAGGATTATTTCCGGAGCCAGATACTCTGGAGTGCCACATAATGTCCAAGTTCTGCCTTTAACTCTTTTGGCAAACCCAAAGTCTGTGACCTGAAAAAAGAAAAAAAATACTCATGAAAATTTATTCCTTCACAATAAACATATTTACTGTACCTAAATTGAAAGTTAAAATTTCAAGCGTTAAAGTAATGAAAAAAAGGGAAAAAATAAATTAATATAATTGAGACTCATTCATGAAGGCCATTATGTAGTGAATGAGTTTAAACAACCCAAGTTGGAAACTCTTTATCCCACTCAAAATAAAGAAACAAATGAACAACATCAAAATCCTTTTCATTCACTGCCACAGATCCCATTCCCAGGGAATTAAAAAGTGAAAGCAAAAGTTAAAAATAAATAGCAGTAATAAAAATGAAACAATGCTTAAAAGTACGCCTTCAGTCCAACGTGTCCCTTCCCATTAACTGCACTATCAGTATGTGAACATATCAATGGGAGGCTCTATTTATAACTGTATAAAAAAGGATGCTCCCACTTGAATAACAGCAGAGGTGAAAAGACAATATTGCCACCAGCCCAGTCTTGGCAATCAAGTCTCCCTTGGAAGCTGCATTTTAGTAGTGAAGATCATGAGCTCTGGGGTCAGACTGGGACCAAATTCTGACTCTACCATTTACTGGCTACATAACATTGGTCTGCCTTAGTTTTGGTCATCTTAAAATGAGGATAATAACAGTAGTTCTACTTATAAGGTTATTGAGACAAAAAGAGATAATACATACAAAACACCTGGAATATGCCTGCCACTAACAAGTGCTCGGAAATTCAGCTACTGTTATCTCCTTATGCAGGAGCCTGTGCTCAGTTCACGGCTACAGATTATGGAAGAGATGAGCAGGTTCCTTTCTCAATGGGATTTTTGCTTCTCTGTAACAGCAGTAGAATTATGAATTCAACGTAAACTATTAGGAAGAAGTAATTGTCTCCCTCAAAAAAAAAATTCCAATATTGATAGTTGAGGATAAACACATAAACTTCTTGCCTAGTATTTTCTCAAATATATTATATTTAATATGTTCAAGTCATACCTGGATATAACCTTGATGGTCGATTAAGAGATTTTCAGGTTTCAGATCTCTGTAGATGAGGTCTAGTGAGTGGAGGTACTCGAATGTTAGCACTATCTGAGCTGCATAGAACCGTGCATGGGGTTCACTGAAAAGAAATAAAACATTGATTTTTTGTAAAATGTGTTAACATGTACTAATTAGATTATATATCAAAATTAACATGAGGTAGAGGTATTCTGGGAGCAAAAAGTATTTTCTAAACATGCAAAAAGTGTTCTTTCTGTTAAACATATATAATCTTGTTAGTTTCCAAATAGTAAATCTCTAAATTGCCTTCAAATAATGCTTTGATAAGTTTAGGGGTCACCATATGTTGGAAAAAAACACCTAAAATAGTTATCTTATTGTAAATTATTATTGCCTATATTAGAAGACATGAATGGCTTTATAATTATGCCCTACTTTGGGAATGATTGGAAAGCAAATGTGCCAACTGGATTGTCTGTAAGGACCACTGTTCCACCTAAGAGCCTTCATCTACTTTTCTACAAATTGCAAATGTTATAGAATTTCACTACATAGAAGCTTTTTAACTGCATTAATTGACAGATTAGTGTAATTTTGATATCACAATCTGAGTATTACTCCAAAAGGATATATCAATTTTCTAATTTGAGTTTGCAATTCATCTTCTAGTATATCCACTGAATTCTACTAATGTACCTGATAAATTGCAATGACTTTCAGATTTGTGTCCTCTATGAACACCTTAACTATGAATAATATTTCCTTCAAGATGGTTGCCATGAATTTGATCCGGTAACACCAGAAATAGAAATTCCGAAAAAAGGTTATATATGCTTCTCTTTTTGCTTGTCACTACATTTCAAAGGTCCTAGCCTAATACACAGCAGTTGCTTAGTAAATATTTGTTGAACAAATGAATATGTAAGGATAAATATTTTGAGGGACAGAATTTTATAATATCGTTACGGTTTCAGCACTGTAACAATCCATTCCAGCACTGTAACAATCACTTTGTATGTCACATAACAAAGAATGAGGTGAACATTGTAAGCAGAGATAGAACGAATCACTCTGGTCACTGCAACATTTATTCTTAAACTTGGAAACGTTTGACCTGGGAAGTCCCCTCTAATTTTTTCCTTATTTTTATAAATATCTTATAAATATAAGATGCATCTTATATTTATTTCCATACAAGGGTGTTTGATTAGAGGAATACAGAGATTACATAGATCTATAATCAAATTGTTGAAAGGTGAAAGTAAAATATTCTAAGTGACTTATTATTAGGTATTTCTACTTAATATTTAAGGGAAGGCAGGAAGTCAACAGGAAGGTTTAATGTAGAAGTTGTAAGTATAGACAACTATCTAAGAGAGAATCATAATGACTCCGTTGATTCTGATTAAAGCCATGCTAAACAAGAACTCATATTCTTCTCGCCTCAATGTTTCTAAGATGGAAGTTAGCAGGCTTTCAAGTGCATGAATAGTATTGAAAGGTTAGACAAAACATTGTCTCCGGTGTGAATTATTTCAACCAACTTACTTCCTTGTAGAACCAAATTGAGCATTTAAAAAACAAGAAAGTAGGGAGCTGCAAAGAAAAGTTACTAATGATAGAAAATGAACAAAATATTTTTTAGAACAGGTTTAGGTACGATACTTTAGTGTAAAACTTTAAATAAGCCGGGTTCGGTGACTCAGCCTGTAATCCCGCGCCTTTGGGAGGCTGAGGTGAGTGGATTGCCTGAGCCCGCGGGTTCGAGACCCGCCTGGGCAGCGAGACCTCATCTCTACAATAAATCCAAAAAATCGGCTGGGCGTGGTGGCGTGCATCTGTAATTCTGGCTACTCGGAAGGCTGAGGTGGAAGGATCGCCGGTAGCCGGCCACTACACTCCAGTCTGGGTGACAGAGTGAGACTCCAACTCAAAAAAAAAAAACCAAAAAACAAAACTTTAAATAATCAGTGGGTAATATGAGGATTCTGCTTAGACAAGGGGCAGTAGGAAAGAGAGGGCAATAGGAGGTGAAAGAAAATTAACAAAGATAAACAGAAGCTACTTTGCATTAGTACAGGGCCTAACACATATTAACTGGCCTAGACATATTAGATCAGTAAATGAATTTTGGCTTAGGCTTCAGGTAACTAAAAGAACTAATATTTGTCCATTACTAGATATCATCTTGTGATAATTTGAGTCTACCGTGATCTTTTTAAGAATCAAATTACCACCATCAATTCTGTTTAAACTCATATTTATGTTTTAATTATGCCAATAATGCAATTGTGAAAGTTGACTATACAAATTGAGTCATTCTTATCATACCCGATTAAATCAGAGTTGAGGGGCCAGGGAGATAAAGCACTCAAGGCACATAGCACTTGCTCCAAGGATTAAATTCTCCACAAGTTCAGCTGCTAAAACTGCCTATTGCAATCTGAAACCAGTTTTATCTAATAGCTCCTGAAATAATCCACTGCCACTCTGAGATTGTTTTATCCATCAGCATCACTCACCAACCAGAGCTTGCCAGCTCCCCCAAACTTTACTGTGTGAATGAACTTTGTTTCAAAGCTAACATAAAATTTCTCCCTTCTATAAAACCTCCAAACTTTTCTTTGTTCTTTGGTCATACCAAGGACCATCTGGTCTATGTGCATGCCCTGAATTTAAATTCTTGCTTCCCAAATAAAACTTTAAATTTAGAGATTCATCTTTGTATTTTTATTTTGACTTTGATATATTTGACTTTGTCAGAAATGGAATGCCAAAGCTGACTCACTTTTAGGAGAATCACTGGTGCTTGGAACTATGGCATGAAATACCCACACTGGGGCCCTTTAAGGCCCTCTGCTTCTGTGGGTTGTCTCTTTTCCTCTGGTGAGTCTCTCTTGAACCAAACTCCTAATTTTGGTTAAGTTCTGTATTATTTGGGATTTGGTTGGGGAGGGTTTTTTCTCTTCCTGTTTGAGAGGGGTCTTTTACCTCCTAGTTGGGTGAGCTCCTGTTAGGGACAGTTATTATTCTTCCTGTTGACTTCAGCTGAAAGATTTAGACCTTGGCTTTGAAGTTGGATGAGGAGGTTTTCTTTCATTTAGAGAAAGTGTATTGTTCTTCCTGGTAAGTACATACTTTATTTTCTGTTGGCACCTGTGATTACTTGGCCTTCATGTAATCAGCAATTGCATTTAATTGAGACCAAGAAAACACTGTATAGATATTGTTAGAGAATTCTTATCATTTGGGCCTCCTTACATAATCTAGTCACATGTTCACAGTTAACTATTATTTGTCCAATCCAGTATGTATATAACTGACTCAATTGCTTTATCAAAATTTGTCGCACAGACTTCATAATATTACCTATTTTAAGGATATCTTAAAGTTTACTTTTATCTCATTTTGTTAGAAAAATAATTTGAATCCAACTGTCTTTTATAAATTGGTGAATTTGTTTTACTATCTAATGACTGAAATTCTAAAATAAAAGCTAGAAGATTTTAATTTAAATATATGTCTATGTGTTTAGATGTGTTTACACATACATACATACATTATGTTGCATGTTGTGTCTATCTACGTGATAAAATCTGGTGTAGTTGGCTAATAATCCCTTAAAGAATTCTATTTAGATAAATGGGCACTCATATAAAATACCTATTAGTAATTAATCAAGATGCTTTTCAATTCATATGACTTAAGTAAATATTTGATAAATGAATTTGTTTTAAAATTATTGATAAAATTAGAAATGTTTTCAAAATTGTCAACATACATTTTTGCCTGGGTATCCAGGTCAGACAGTTTTATATTTGCTTCTGCTATATATATAGAGAGGTTGTGAAGCTATAAAGCCAGCCTAAAACTAAATGATCTGTTTATACAAGTCTTTGAAAATATGATTAATCTAATATTGTTGCTGTAGCTCCTAAGTTATTGACAGAATATTCATATATTTAATTTTAAAGTTTTTTTTTAGTTGGAGTCTCACTCTGTCGCCCAGACTGGAGTGCAGTGGCACACTCCCAGCCACCGCAGCCTCAACCTGCTGGGCTTGGTGATCCTTCTGCCTCAGCCTTCCAAGTAGCTGGAACTACAGGCGCGTGCTACTACACCCAGCTAATTTTTTTGATTTATTGTAGAGATGAAGTCTCACCAACTTGCCCAGGCGAATCTTGAATCCGTGGGCTCAGGCAATCCATTCACCTCAGCCTCCCAAAAAGTGGGATTATAGGCTGAGCCACCAAGCCTGGCTTACCTTTAAAGTTCTTACTTAGGGAAGCATTTGATATTAACAGGCTATAAAACTGTCTTAAATAATGAATGATTTTCTAATATCTCAATTTTTATAAGTATTCCTATAATCTACATTTTTATAGGTTATAAATATAATTATAGGCATACCTTCACAAGGATACCGATAATCAATTTTCACAAATATACTTTGGTATACTTGCTAAAAAAATAAAAAATAAGGTAGTTGCAAATAGAATAAACATTTACAAACGATCTTTTCATGTAATTTAAGATCTCAAAGTTATGTATGTTTTATTAAATAACAGGTACTCATTAAGTTTCTGAGCCCAAATAAGATAAAAAGTTGAGCTGTATTGATAAATAAACATAAGTTTGCTAAATAAATATGAGTTTACTCTTTGCTTCTTAAATTTTATAAAAAGACTCAGTATATTTAGGTTTACTAATCAAAAGATGACATTAAGAAAAAATAATCTGTATGAGAAATTGTCTTATGTGGTACATTTTTGTCTTAAGATAAAATGACTGGTAATTCCAATGAACAAAAATAAGAGAGAAGTCATAGTATCAAGATTGGGGGTTGGAAAATGATGAATGGTCTAAGTAAGTCAACGTGATTTATAAAAGATGAACTTTGTGAAGGAAATTTTATGTGTGAATGATTTGTCTGGGACTGGAAATAAATTATGTGTTTTTCCAAAAAGTAAAGATTGGTGTCCGGGGTGCACTGATATAGGACTACGGTCTAGTTTTCTATATTTAAAACAACAGGTTTTCTTGAGGTATTGATCTGTTTTAATAATATAGCAGGAGATCTGATTTGTTTCTTTCATAGCCATCTTCCAAACTGCAGGCAGTTTCTACTTCTGCCATGTTTTCTTTTCTGAGATCTAATTAATCTCCTAGGTTTCATGTTAAAAATGCTGTCTTCTTCATTTAAAATGGTAATTTTAATTTCTTGAGTTAATGCTTTCCTTCTTTGAAATTTCTCAGATTTATATTTCAAGAGCTCAACTTTTGCTGTACCTTGCTACACATGATTGGCAGGTCATACATTATCACCTTCATGGTCAAACATCATTACCTTCTGTTTCTTCCCCCCCCCTTGAAACAATGTATCTTTTTGCTTGGCTCAGGTGATAACTCCCTCAACCTTTTTTTGTCAACTACTGTAACTTTTTTTCTCCAGTTCTAATTCTGCTTTTATGGCCTAATGCTAAAATGTTTATCTTAAAGGCCTAGTAAAGCAAAGTGTTCCTCTAGTATAACTTGATTCTGTATTCTTGGCTTTCTTAATGTCTTAATTGTTTCATGTAACCAGAAAACTTCCCATGCTTTTAGTAAGAACCTTGTAGTCCCCTGCTCAAGATACTAGTTTCCTTGTTCATATTCCTCTATAAAATAGTGTATGTTCATAACTCTGCAAACTTTTTGTCTGGATTCGATTAAACTCAAGTGTCCAAGGCATTAGGTCTGACTTCCAGGTTATCTATCTAAACTAGTTTCCTATGCGAAAAATAAAACAAAACAAAACAAAACAACAAACCGAAGAATATTTTTCTTTACTTTTTTAGTAACTGGCTAAGAAAACAAACGCTTTATGCTTTATCAAAATAATTTCCTATGTTGTTTTTATTAGGTTCTTCTTAAAGACAAAGTGATCTTTAAGAAGAGTAAGGGGCAGTTTCTCTCGCCCATGCCACCAGCTTTGGCATGTCTCCCTTTCTTCTCTCTCTTCTTTCTCTAATAAACTTTGTTTGAAAACTTAAAAAAAGAAACAAAAAAGAAGAGTAAGATTTTCACATCCAAGTAACTCTCTGTATTGATTTGGTATCTTTTAATTATTACTCTGGTTAAATGAATGGTAGTTACTTTACACTGACCTGTGGTTGTTTTGATCAAGTGTTTTGAGCATTTTAACATCTTTGATAAGCTTCCTCAAAAGCAAATCCTAAATTAAGTGTTCTTGACCTAGAATTACTTTTGGGTATTTGCAGTTGGGTTCCTGGAAAATCTCAAAAGATACAGCTCTCATCTTGTAGTGCTATTAAGTAATTAGTTATTTGGTAAATTATAAAAGCAACACTATCAAATATAAGTGATATTAGATCTTCTTTTAGTTGCTAATGGGTATGCTGTTGATATGAATGTTTCAAAGATTATATAAATTCATAGAAATCTAACATGTCATCAGTCTTTTTTTGGTAGTTATCTTAAAATGCTGTATATAATATAAATTTATTTTCTTGTTGATTGTAAGCTTTCATCAGAATTTTAACCATGGGCATTCTGTTTTTGTCATGTGCACTTCCTGTTTTGAATTTTTCTCAAAAAATATTTACAATCAGATTCATGGAAAAGACTTTAGCAAGTTATCTTAAATACTAGTTTCTGATAGCTTTTAGAGCAATTAACTAAATGAAAGTCTTCAAACTAATAAAGCAACTCATGAGTTCATGAAAGCACAAATCTAAATCAAGTAGAGCAATAATTAATTACATGAAATTAAATAATTGATAAAGATAATGTTTTTAGGATTCTTATTTTAAACATTGTTCATTATTAAATGTTTTTGTTTTCCAGATTTAAGAAAAATTTATCTCTTAAGCTATAATTCACAGTAATTTGGTAAAGTATATTTTTATAAACAAAAATAAAAGGATTTTTCTCCTTATTGATTCCTCAGGAACTCAAAAACTACTTGTGAGTATTCTTATGACAATATGGTTTTTTGCAATAACCCTATAAAATATGCTCTCTCTTTATAGCATAACACAATTGAAAACATTGATCACATTACTAAGGCTTTGACTAAAATGTCATATCTGCAAATATGCATAAAATGTCTGATTTCAAGGACTCTCAGTCTTACAATAAGTACGTAAAACTGTCACTTCCTGGCAGGTCCAGGAACCTTAAGACTGTAAGTACAATCTACAGTCTGCCTTGGTTTGGCTTCCTAGCCACAAGAGGTTTTTAAATCTGAGATTCTTATGTGATTAATGTAGAGAAAAAAGTTATATTTCTAAAGAAAAGCTATAATACACCTTTTATTAGATTGGAACTATGTACATTGTTTTTGAATTCTTGTTATCTACTTATAGACTAGATTAGGTCCTAAATTAGCCTAGGTTCCTCCATAAAATTACTAAAATGGAAACTTCTCTGTTCTTGAAGCCCTATAACTTGAAATTAGATAAACTTTACGGAACAAGTCTCATGCCGGATATACGGGTCATGCCAAAAGTTCACCACAACATCCAATGCAGTAGCCAGAGATATTCAAACTGCAAACCAGGACAAGAAAGTTTTCTATGCTGTAAACGGCTTTTCTCAAGACGTCAGAATAACGAAACTCTTACTCCTCATAATGCCCATTTTTCACTTAAAATAATACTGTAATTAAAATTTCACAAACAGTAACTGCTATAAGTAACTTGACAAAACTTAACCTAAGTAATTATTTTGGTCTACCCAGTAGGCAATTTTGACAATATCCCTGACATCACTTTTTGTTCAAATTGTACTGATGGTCCCTTTTATAAAGGCGGCATTCTCCGCTTTAATTCAATAAGTTATAAAATGCTGTCTATAACAGGTCTCATTTAGTTACTCCTACAGATTTGTTTAGCTTATTGCCCTTAGGTTTGGGCTTAAACCACTACACAAACTAAATTTCTTATGTTGTTGTTAATTATTTTGTATTATTATTTTTAAGTTTTATTCGTTTGCCTATCTCGTCTTTGTAAAGTCAGCTGTCCCAACAGAATAATGTTAGCCCAACACTTCAAGATGATTGCTAATATCTCTGGAAGTAAAAAAGTGGAACTCGATGCTGGACTCCTGCAAAACGTACCCTGAGGAAAAAAGTCTTCCTTCTGGCCTCTTTGATACCCAAATGGCCCAGGTCCCTGACACAGACCCCAACGACCTCCTAACACACAGGACAGAGAACACAGGAGCAGGTTCATCCTGACACTGAGAAACAACTAAGCCTAACTTCAAGATGGCTGATCAGTGATACCTTCAGAGAAAGATCTTTATCAAAGAGGGAAATATGAAAGTTGATAAAATAAATTGGGTCATTCTAGTCATACCCAACCAAATCAGGATCAAGGGGCTAGGGAGATGAAGTATTTGGGGCACATAACACCTGCTCTAAGAATTAAATTTTCTACAAGCCTCTCTTCTGAAACTGCCTATTGTAACCTGAAACCAGTTTTATCTAACAGCTATTGAAATAACCTACAGCGACTCTAAGACTAGTTTTATTTACTGCCACTACTCACCAAGCAGAGCTTGCCAGCTCCCCAAAACTTTACTAGTGCCAATGAACTTTCTTTCAATACACTATGTAACACTGCTCCTTTTTATAAAATTTCCATCCTGTTCTTTGGGCATACTAAAGACCTCCTGGTCTGTGTATATGTTCTAAATTGCAATTCTTGTTTCCCAAATAAAATGTTAAATTTAGTGATTCATCTCTACATTCTTATTTTGACTTCAAAATACTGTATGAGTGAAACTGTCCCTCTTCTTGGTTTTAGCTTTATATATTAATAAACAATAGTGACTTACAAACTATTACGCATAAGTACAAACTAACAGAATCCATAACCTATTCTAATAACGGTGAGACCTTATTAGTTATAATCTAATGATAAGGTATAAGTTCCTTTTAAATTATATACATATTTAACAAACTCAATTTAGTAACAACTTTAAGGAGAACTAAATTAAACGTGTGAAGAACAAATTCTTCTAATTTCATCACCATAATAACATGATTAACATTCTATATACATATATTTCTTCCTCATTTTCATCTTTATACAAATCTCTGTCTCAGAGTTATTTATTAATATTGGTTCAAGTTTGGGCTTGGTTGGCTCAGCCTGTAGTCCCAGCACTTTGGGAGGCCGAGATGAGCAGATTGCCTGAGCCCACGGGTTCACGACCAGCCTGGGCAACTTGGCAAGACCTCATCCCTAGAATAAATCAAAAAATTAGTTGGGCATTGTAGCGCACGCCTGTAGTTCTGGCTACTTGGAAGACTGAGGCAGAAGGATCACTGGTACCCAGCAGGTTGATGCTGGGGTAGCCATGAGTATGCCATGGCACTCCAGCCTGGGCAGCAAAGTGAGACTCCAACTCAAAAAAACAAATTTTTGTTCAATAAATGTTGGTATTTTAAATTTAATTAATTTTTGCATTTTCAGAAAACTCTTAAAATAATGGATCCTCACAATATCTACCAATGGTATAATATTTAAATTAGTTTCATAGTGCTTTTATTTAAATTTTAAAAATTAAGTAGGTATGGCCTCATCTTAATGTTTCCACTAATGCTATATATGCCAAAAATATTAATTCATAAAATAAAATAATTTTTTTGCATTGACATTCACTTAAAAATTTAGGTTAAAAAAATACAAGCATATAAAGATTTGAGAAAGAGAAAAGCATTAGTTACCTGAACCTTCCAATTCTTCTTAGGTGTGAAAACATTTCACCCCCAGGGACATATTCCATAACCATGTATAAATTAGAATTATCCTATGAACAAATAAAAAGTAAATAAATTAAACTTATGAAACTTAGGTAAAACTTATTTTAAGATTACATTATGTTCAATTAGAAAAAGAAACATTTTAAATCCATCTGACAGATTAATAAAATTGGGAAATAGAGAATAAATAGAAAATGCTCTAGTTTTTCTATACTGGGGTACTCATCCTTTTTTTTCCCCTAGCTTTCTTGCCACAGATTAGTCTGAGACTTTTGTTGGTCCTGCTCTTGCAGGAAACATTTAACTCTTGAACAATTAAACACTAAGGCAATAAGATAATGCTATAGTGCAAAGGAACAATAAAGTAAAAAAACAATCTGAAAATGATTAATAAGAATACTTATATTTTTATGTTTGAAAATATAATGATTTTATATCTTACACACATAGGTTTTCATTTCTTTAAAGCATAAAGAAATGAAGGTTAAAATGTTTCACCTGATTTAATATTGCAGGAAGATGCCAGGTATTATTCCAAACAGTAAAAGAAGATGGTGAAATCATGGCAAAAAGGGTTTTAAAAGTAGGTGTGTTGGGTATATACATTTGCAAGAGTGTAAGAATTGCTTAGTAAGATATCCCTATGATTTTTGATAAATTAAAATATTTGATTTTTTAATACCATCTAATGGAGAATTATACATATCATCTTGAATCATTTCCCCAAGAACCAAACCTTTTCAAATGTTACCCAAATTTATAAGCACAAAAGATTTAATTACATAATTATTAATTATTAGTATTTCTCCACGTTTACCATCTGGTCTAGAATATTATTTATAATTTCAGATTTTGAAAAACGTGTCAAGTTGAAAATATCTGATTTAGATATTACTAAAATTTACCTTAAAAGAATATTCCAGTCGAACAAGAAAAGGAAAATTCACTGCCTGTAATATTCTTTTCTCATTCAAAGTATGCTCTATTTGCTTCAGTTTAACAACCTGTAATTGAAAGATAAATATGTTCTGTTACATTTAAGCAAATTTAAAAAGTTATCATTTTATAAGAAAAAAATAAAATGCTTTCCATTAAATGATGAATATGGATAAGCAAAATTGCTAAACTTAGATAAGAAAGATAATAGTCCATAATTATCACAAATTACAGTTGTCCCTTAGTATCTGTGAGGGATTGGTTCCAGGACTTGCTGCAAAAACCAAAATGCCCGGATGCTCAAGTTCCTGATATAAAATGGCATGGTATTTGCATATAGCCTATGCATAATCTCCATATACTTTAAATCGTCAGTAGATTACTTACAATACTTAATATAGTGTATATCCTATGTAAACAGTTGTAATACTGTATTGTTTAGGGAATGGTGACAAGAAAAAAGTCTTCACATGTTCAGAAGAGACACAAGTTTTTTCCCAAATATTTTCAATCTGTGGTTGGTTGAATCCACAGATGTAGAACCCATGGATATAAAGAACTGATTGCATATTAACTATGTATCATATAGTCACAATAAATAAATAAGAATAAAAATTAAGTGCCACAATAAAATTATTTGAAGGTGTCAATGGTAAGTTATTATATTGCATCTGTTTAATAGTATAGCTGATTTAACTAAAGTTCATTCTGCAGGTAAATAAACAAATACACTAACCTTCTGCTTATCTAAAATCTTCATGGCATAATACTGTTCAGTGGCCTTATGTTTCACCAACATTACTCTTCCAAATGAGCCTGTTCCAAGGGTCTTTTTCCTTTCAAAATCCTCAAGTCCAGCATTATTCTACATATATGTAAAAAAAATTTACTTTAAAATTAGACATTCTCATAAGACCATAATAATTATAATCATTTTAATAATATATAATCAGAATGGATAATTCATTCCATAACTACCAACTTTAAAACAACATAAAAAGATTTTGAGATCCCAGGTTATTGATGTTATTTTCACCTTTGAATAAGAAAGGATCTAATATCTGAGAACAGAATTATACTGTAAAACAAAGCATAATAATAACAGGAGGAGATAAGAGCCTCAGCTGAAATATTAAAGGTATTATTCCAATATGCATTCCTAGTACTGGAATTCTAATAAAAATTAGTTCCATATTTTAGTAATTACAAATTGATTATATACTGACAGAGTCATATAAGTCATAGAGTCTTAGTGTACTTGCAAGTAACTGCAATGACTCGCTGAGAGATCAGAGTCCTTTACTAAAGCTACCTGTGAAAAAGCACTGTCTTACTTCATTTCTGTCTTTATACAAGCTTATAGAACTAGGTAACTAGCATGAGTGATCCTAGTGGCTTGCTTTCTCTGATGCTATAATAATCCAGTATTACCTAAAACAACAATAAACAAAGAAGGGTTCCTCATTTCACAAAGAACCAAAAGCCAGAGTCCCAGAACAATAAGCAGACTCTTAAAACTTGAATAGATGTTTTGTTACAAGGAAACATCTTTGTTTGGCTTTGACTACAGCATAGAAGCAAAGAATTGGCAGAATCAACCTATGAATTTGTTGCTGCCACAACAAAATGAAAATTACTAGGAAGAAATTACGTGCTAAATAGCAACAAGTAGTAATTGCTAACCCATTTATTTTACAGGTTTTCATTACAAAGTCTCCCTTAAAATTTCCAAAAAAATATTTTGAAGGCCCAGTTTGTACAGCATTTAGCTTGAGAAAACTGTGATGCAATATAATTCTTGTATAAGTGAGGAATCTGGATAGTTATTGTGGTTCACTGTAGCTAGATGTGATCTCTTACAAATCAAACTTTGCCTTTTAAGACACATTTTAGGTTCTTGTTGGATTATTACAGAAGAAGCAAGCAATTCTAAGTTTTATTTATAACTTGTTTTCATTGTATTCTAATTTTTCATTGCCATGAGATACCTTATTAACGCAGAAAAAGCCCTTACAAATATGATTAAATTAATTGATTTTTTTGATTAACATTTAATTTCTGGTTTTATCAATATAGATTCATTAAAATGTTTAAGACAGTCCCAACCAAATCGTGGAAACAACAGAACATGTCTATGCTAGTCACTGTTTTTCTTTGTAAAAAATGTCATCTTCCTCGTCTCCCTTAATGTTTCATATTACATAATGTCTAATGTTTTATAATCCATATTATGTCTAACTTTTGAGACTATGTTTGAAGTTATAAATCATCCTCTAAATCTTGTGATGGCATCTTAAGAAAACATTTACTTATAATTCTTTAGTGAAAAACATAATTGAAATAAAAACATTTATGTACTAGAAAGAAAACAGGCTTTCAGTATGTAATGTACTATTAAAGTTTATTCATTATTTATAACTCCAAAAAGATTTTTTTGAAAGTACAGATGGCTTATTTTAAATACAGTTTTTAGACCTCAGTTAAGATTTAAAGCATCTAAATTATATAGAACATGCCTCATCAAAATGTTGATAATGGATCCCTGTTGTATTTGGTATGTTACTAATAATCAAACATTTGTGAATAAAAATTTGGAACTGCAGTTAATAAAAATAATAAGTATGCTATAAAAGGCATAATTCAAAATGAATATATTAAAAAATATCAATATTTAATAGCATCTTGGAATGAGTATCAAAATTATAATAATCAGGTATTCTACTGAAAATTAGTTCCTTCTCCTATTTAGGTATACATACAATTATTAAATAATAAATCAAAATATAACTATGGCAAAATTCTAATTTTAAGTTTATGTTGACTAATGCTACTTAAAAATTAAAATTTCTTTTTTTTTTTGAGTTGGAGTCTCACTCTGTCGCCCAGACTGGAGTGCAGTGGCTGGGAGTAGCCACTGCAGCCTCGACCCACTGGGCTCTGGCGATCCTTCCGCCTCAGGCTTCCGAGTAGCCGGAATTACAGGCATGCGCTACTATGCCCGGCTGATTTTTTGTAGAGATGAGGTCTCGCCAAGTTGCCCAGGCGGGTCTCGAACCCGCAGGCTCAGGGAATCCATTCACCTCAGCCTCCCAAAGCACAGGATTACAGGCTGAGCCACCCAGCCGGCTTAAAATTTCTTAAATATTAAGTTTCTTAAGCAAGAGTCATGATTTTACATAACACAGGACTTTTAAATTGTAGAAAAATCTAAATATTCCTTACCGGAGCAGGATTCTCCCATTTTTTCAAAAAGTCTTCTTTGGCTTTGGCTAGAAACTCTTTCACTAAAAATATATGTAAAAACAAAATTGTCTTGTAAGAATATTTACATTATGTATAGGGATATTTACATATGTTTTTATATTACATGTCTATATTTTTGTTTAAGAAAAACAGACATGTCAACTTTGTGATGAAATGTATATTCACCACCATGATATACTAGAGAACTATTCAGTATCTCTAAGCAAGAAGCAAACACCTCAAATTTCTAAGAATCTCTAATATTGCTCTATATGGAAATCATTTTGAGAATTTCAAATCTAATAACAAAAATACTGTTCCTGAAAACATACCAGAAAGTAAGAAAGTAAGACTCAATCTAGGATAAAGCAGTGATTATAAATAATTCAGCAGTGATATTAGCAGAGTCTTTAAACACAATAACTAAAAACATCTGAAGAACATGAATCTGTTTTCTGTGGAATTTAAAAAATAATTGATCTTGATAATGATCTGTTTTCAGGTATAAGGATTTATGTTATGTATTAGATTTGTGTTTTCTTTACAAAGGGCGGACAGAAAAGGAAAACTACAGACTAACACATAACGGACACCCACAAAAGACTTACAAACAAAACAGAACAAAACATTACTCACAAAAAATCCAAATGGCTTAAAAATCTCACTCTAAATTTACAGCAAAAACTAAATGTCTGAATGTCTAATTTAAAATGTACACTAAAGTAAGTTAAAACAAGATGATGCTTTCATGATGATCAATAATAATCGCATTTTTTAATGGAGCTATGAAGTTTTAAATTTATTAAATTATGAAACATTAAAAAATTTCCCCTTCACTGTATTTCCACAAAGTTATTATTAACAATGACCTCTGTTAGTAAAATAATTCAAGTATTTAAAAACAAGCAATAAGAAAAAAATACCAAAGAGATAAAATGGCATTAACAAAATGTATTCTTGTTATTTTTAGTTATAAGAATAACACATAACTATACAAAAAGTAATTAATGTTTCTTTTTATACAGAAAGTTCCCAATATTTCTCTATTTTAATCTATAAATAAGGAATAAAATGACAAAAAATAAGATTTAAATCATGTTGAAATAGTAAAAAGTTGGAGTAGACAAAATGAACTAACTTGCAGTGGTACAATGGCAATTATTTCAGAAATATTAAGAATGATGATTATGATGATGATAAAAGAATTAAAAGTGGGAGTGAAAGCCTCACAAATTCTTTAAAATCCTTAATTATACAGCAATATTAAAGTGAAACATTTAAAGATATGTATTATTATTTCCTCCTTTATCCCAAAATAGTAAACTTTGGCAAAACAGTTACTAACCAAAAATACTATTGGTATTCTAAACATTTTGATTTCAAAATGACGATGATAGGCACCAAAAGCAGGCATTAGTTTTGAAGTGATGCTAGAGTATAAGTTTCTGAAAGTTACTACTTTCTATAAACTGTCCTCTTTATTTTGCAGTAAAATACTCTCAAAATGCTTGTTTTAGAAAATTTGAGGAAAAAATTGTTAAACTAGGATTTTCCCATTGTCAGAAAGTCTCATGCACCAAAACAATGAATCAAATAATTTCACCTAATTACTCAAATATGATCTAAGTCTTTCCCAGGTAGGGAGATGGATTAAGAGTGGCAAATTCTTACATTTTCTCGGAGTTTGGGATAGTTCAAGTAATACTACTTTTAAAAGTTAATGTACCAGCTACAATTGAAGAGTGGTTTTATAATTTTTTTTTTCTTTTGCATACAGCAGACTTATCTGCACATGGCCTTGACTTGGGCATGATGGCTATAAAATACACTCAAAACATGATTTATTGCAAAATGCAACTGTAGTTTTTAAGAAACCACAACTTGTGAGTCTCAAAATAACCTCTTATTTCCTTTGAAAAATATTTTTAGGTATCTTTTATTTATAGAACTTGCACATCAAGTTACAGTATAAACTCTCCAGATGCCTGCATGAATATAAATAATTTAGAGACAAGGAAGAGAATCAGGGAAAGAAAAAAAATCCCTAACATCCCATTTCAGCTTCTGCTGTCACTTTATGCTAAGTGGATCTGGAGTTGAGAAAAAAACAACGATCAAAGGAAGGTTTGGAAGTATTTACCAAAGATGGTAGGTTGAAAAATATTCCATTTCCCTGCCAGTGATGAGCTAAAAGAAAAAAAATTCAGGTACTACTTCATGTTACTCACTAATAGAATATTCAGGAAATATTATATGTACTCATCAGTATTCTAACTTTACCATTAAGTAACAATGTAGAAAGTAAATAATAGTTCTCATAAGGTCTTATGTGAAAATAATCAGAAGTGGATATTAAATGTATTAAATTTTGTGAATTATTTCAGTATATAAAGGGATTTCCTTTCAGAGTAATGATGAGCATTAATTATAATGTTATTAAATAGTTATATGATGAAAATTCTGTTCCTGAAACATTTTTTGTCATATAAAAATATATACAAACATGAATTCTACAATTTATATGTGCACTATTTAGGTACAAAGATAAACATTGTTAATGTTTTGTAAAGATATAAGTTAATCAAAATATACATCTTTTAATAACAAAATAAGATTGCCAAAAATAAAATATTTTACACTATTTTGGATTACAAATAGCCCTAAAACAATAGACAATACAGAATCATATGTATTTGTTTTGAATTTTATTATTTTTTGATAGTGGGAGATTTAATTTTTAAATGTTCTTCTCTAGTTATTTAAAAAATTTCTATCCACTGTCATAAGGTTAGCAGCTAATTAATAAGAGGATGGAGAGACAGCCAGATTCAAACATTGCTCCACATTCATCCAGAGTTCCCTGTAAAGTATATACTTTGAAGTTCTTGGTTTTTAGTTTGCTTGTTGTGTTCTAATGTATAAGCCAAATCTGTATTTAACCATTGTGATGATTTTTGAGCGTGGCACATCTGAGTTAGAATATTAGCTCTAATCCTTCTTAGCTGTGTGATCATAGGTACCTATCGCCAAAGCACCCAACAGTGCTTAGTAACTCTTCATGAAAAAAATGCCTCAAAGAAGAATTTTCCATAAATATATTTTATACTGTATTGGTCAATAATGGAGCAAACTAGGTACTACAAAAATGAGAAGAATACACCAAAAATCAACTCAATTTATTTCCAGAAGTATACATTTTAAATTATATTTATTTTCTTTTCAGTTGGTATCATATAAAGAATTTATCACAATGCAGTCCAGAGGAAATGAGCATACCAAAGGAATCTATATGTTCACCCAAGATTTGTTTGCAGGAATATTCACCCACATTCATGAGATGTAAAAAGAAAAAAAGAGATAATTTTTTATGCATTTCCATAAGTTCATGAAAACAACTTAATTCTTATCCCTCCAAATATGTTTGAATACATTTATATACAGGATATAGTTTAAAAATTAAATTTCAAAGTGAATTTTAAACATTAGGAAAACTAACTAAAAATTCATTCACAATATAACTTTATCTTCCATAATTGAAATAATTCTACTATGATAAAAACATTCCACTAATAACATTTAGCAAATGTATTTATTAGATATTTTTGAGTACTGTTAGATAAACTAGATTACTATTTATCATAAAAAGAATGTGTTGTTAGTATATCATTACCTAATTCTTAAGAGTATCATTCATATTTTCTAAGAAGAGTTTATAAATCTATCTTAAGATTTATAAATAAATAACAACTACTCTAAATGTTGCATTCTCCAGTTACTTTGTAATGAGACAAATTTCACCCTCATCTTATATTCAACTCTTTTATTCAATTTGTGTGAGAAAAATAGAAAGGAAATAAACAGACAATGGGACAAAATAAACTAAAATCTTTCCAAGGTAAATACCCAGTAAAAGTATTAGCCACTTCATTCTAAATTTGCAACAGTATATATGTTTTCAAAAACCACTCATTAACTGAGAAGTCTAAGTGGTGTGTATTAATCTATCTTCTGCTACCCTATACAACTTCCACTAATTCATGGTGCTATATTCATTATTTCTAAAATATCACACAAGAAACTGTAATACAAATAATTTCTATAGATAAAACCCAACATAAAACTAAACAAACCATTTCCTTCATCAATTAATATATTTTATTAACTCCATATACTTAACAAAATATAACTTTATAAGGGGGAAAAAACTTGCAAAAACACATAAAAATTGTAAAGGTAATATTTGTTTTATTAAAAAGTAGTTGCCTACCAGATATTTCTGAAGACGAGCAAGCTGGTGTCCAAAAAACAAATTAAACAATGATTAAATTACACACATAAAAAACATATTAATATAAAGTCATCTATACATATTTCCCAGAATGTTAAACACAGAAAAAGTTAGCGTAGAAACTCAATTATTTGACTGTATGTATTCAAATAGTATATCCTAAAATTAACTGGTAAAGAAATGAAATTAATAACTACTGTTAAGTGCCAAAATTAATACCATTGTAATTTTCTTTAAAATAACAACTAACAAAAACTTTAACTCCTCATAACAATAGGGCTGATATCAAGAAACAAAGACACATCTGTGCAATACCATCTCTGGACTTCTGTTTTTCAGTCAAACTCTTATAGGAAAGGCACTGTGAATTATAACACCTTGTTTATTCCCTTCTGAAAGACAGTGTCTTTCAGGCATTCTACTTCCTTGATGCTGGTTTAACAATCTTTCGCCATTTACTGAGCACTATTCAGTGGTGTCAAAATCACTGGTTAGTAATTTTGAGCTATACTCTATGAATACTACAAAGAATAAACATATCTCCACAGTTAAGTAAACGTAAAGTCTATGGGAAGATAGATGCATCATAATGGAATGTGACAAGGACTATGACAAAGGCAATTATAATGTGCCATGAGAGCCTGAATGAGGAAATTCTTGGATAGTAAGTTAAGACCTAATAGAGGACACAGGATTTGTGCTGAATCTTGAAGAATAATGGATTCCTCTGGCAGATAAAGTTGGGGAAGAAGA